ATTATATCAGATAAGCAGGTCCCTATCCAGGAACAGATCAACCCAGATGATGAAACCAATAAGAGGTGTTCAAGAGAACCTAATTACCAGGAGGAGAGGCGTATAAAACAGTGGGCTGATCACTTCGAGGGACTCTTGAATCGACCATCACCTGCAACTCTCTCAGCAATACCACCCACAGCACTCACAGAACTGCCAGCCAGTGGGCACCAAACCTCCAACAAAAGCGGAAATCCTGAATTCAGTCAAGCTACTGAAACTCAGCGGGGAAGGCAGCAGGACCTCCCCCCCCCCCGAAGCACTGGGAACGGACCCAGGGACTTCAGAGAATATGCTGATGCCAGTATTGCAAAGGGTTTGGAAAGAAGGAAAAGGTGCATACTGAAATGAAGAAAGGCTAGATACCTTGTCAAGCTACCAAAGAAGGACGACTTTGGCCTGTGCAAGAACTGGAGCGGAATAATGCTTTTGTCCACGCCAAGTAAAATATTAAGTCTCATCATTCTGGTGAGAATAAAAGATGCACAAGACACAGAACTCTGCCGACCGGAACAAGGTGGATTCTGGAAAGACAAATCATGTGCTGGTCAAATTGCAACTCTACACATCGTCATCACGGAACGAGGTATAGAATGGCAGTCAAACCTGTACTTTAACCTCATTGACTTCGAAAAAGCCTTCGATAGCGTTCACCGCGAAATCATTTAGAAACTAGTTCAACCCTGCAGCTTGCGACAAATCTTTGTGGGCCTCATTCAACAGCTATATGACAATTCCACGTGTCAGGTGATCCACAACGGAAAACTCAGCTAGGCTGCCTAATTATTAGTTCACTATTATCACTCTCATATGTTCTTTTTGCACATTTTCTCACCCTCTTCGTACTTGTTAAATTGACACTCAAATACCTTTCTTCTCACTCAATAACAATTTTAACCTCATCAAATTTCCAGCGCTTTGTTCCTTTGTGTCACTGAGTATTACGTTACTTACAACTTTTTCTTTTACTTCAAAAGCCACCTCTGAGTAATTATATCAATTATGTCACTCCCTATAACATAACAATGGACTACTATACATTTTTGGTAAATATAAATACAACTAACTGTACAGCCTCTGAAGATGATTTTGTCGATAAGGAAAATTTTCTTTACTGAAATGTCTTTTATTTTTTTCATGACTCAATCCGTATTTTCGGCGATAATATAATCAATAATCTCAGTAGGGGGATGGTTAAGTGATAGCAAAGATAATTTACTAGTGAGCACTTAGATTAGTTTAATTTGGGTGGGCTTCATAATGCTTCTATCGTGGTTATAACAATAACTGAACTTCTTCGAAAGTGAAAGACATGATTAAAACACCCCCTGATGAAATGAATATGACTAGAGACAATAATGAATAATGCTAGAATTTAGTATAATTCGTTGCTGGAAATATATTACGGCCACAGTAAATTGGGTAAAGTTAAACTTTAAGCACCGTTACGTACCAATCAGCAAATGACCTCGAATGCACCAATCACGTGCAGGAGGTATTTTTGTGTATAGAATACATATATTAATGAAAAAGTACAAAAATGTTAAAGAGGATACCAGGCCTTCACATTTGGTAAAAGTAGCTCTCAGTTTTAGGCTGCAGTATCAACGGAGTATAATTCAATTGTGGGTAAAATTTATTTATCATAGTGTTATGCAGTAATATTTCCCGAGCAACAAATTGTGTTCGAAACGTTATCAGTAAATATTACTGTATAACACTGTGAGACTTTATCAGAATAAATTTTACCCACCATGGAATTATACTCTACCACAGTGCACAAGTACTATTCTTATATCAACAGAGTAATTTAACCACATTCTATGCATGTAATTATTTAGGTCTTCTAACTCTAATCTTTCCTTAACCTAACCCTAACGTGAAAATATCCCTGAATTAACTGTAATCTAACTCGAACCAACTCTAGTATCGCCTTCATCAGGTTAACCTTGGCTTAAAGCGTAACTTAATCTTTCCTAAACCTAAGCTGAAACTTGCCATTGAATAGCATAACAATTCGATGAGCATATTTTATTGATGATGATAACATTATTTGCCAGGTTTTGCTAACTTAGTCAGTGAGCGTTTCACAGTCACTGGTGAGGTCAAACTCCGTTGGTAGTTAGTGGTGCTTTAAGTTTAATTTGGCCGGAAATTGAATAACCCCGTCAAAACAGGTTATGATCTGGTCGCCAAATATGTTATAACAAAGGGTTACTGATTTGCGGTTGTTGTCAAACTTGACTAAAATAAGCTTCCAGACATAACACTACAACCAACTGATCACTTGAATATATTTCCCCACACTGAGATAGACACAATACTCAGACTTTACTGCAACGACAGCCATAACCTCTTATTCTTCAAAATGCTAGATAGATAAATACATATAGTTTACAAATTGTCAGAAATTTAAACTATAAATAGATAATCAATATCTGACTGGCTGTATGACCCTGAAAATCCTCGGAAATCAGACCAAAAATAAATCAATCGAAAACTGTCTAATCACGTTATTATGTCAGTGCATGCATCAATCATGATTGGACAGTTAATAAAAAAGAGCTTAATTGTCCTTCCTAACCATCTTATTTTTAATGGGAACAAGAAAAAGGAATTTGACAGCCTTATACAAAAAATAAACAAACAACTTGATAGATGGTGGATGAAATAAGAATAAGTTACTGAGTTCGTCTATGATTGGAAAATGCTAATTTTACATTAAAAATATGTTTTGATAAAACCCAACAGTGTTATACAGTAATATTTACTGATGACAACATTTCAAACACAATTTAGCGCTGCTCATAATCAAATTAAGTTACACAACTGTTTAACTTCTTTTATATAATTCCATTATTTCTCATCGCTTGATTTGATTCGAGGAACATAGGTTCAGTAATCGATCTCTTTCACTACCTATAATCTACACCCGACACACGCAACATCAATGACACATCGCCAATACCAGAGATATGGAAAATAACACTACCAGTCAAACCAAGGGATGAAAATTAATGAAATTATACAAACGAAGTTCGAAAGTTGTGTGACTTAATACAACTTTTTTATTCTTTTACGTTCCCAGTGGAACATAGGGCTTCAGCTCTGAAGTTTCGGTAGCAGCGGTGGTGATTTAATTTTTATTTTACGAGATGGGATTGACAGTCTCATGGCCAACCTTGCCTCTTTACCGGCTTAGCTACGTGAAGCAGTGCGTCGACCGGGATAGAATCCCTGACCACATGGGTGGTTGACGAGCATTCTGCCGCTAAGCCACCGACGTACACTTAATATAATTATGAGCAATAAATTGTGTTCAAAACACAGTGAGACTTTATCAAAATAAATTTTCCCCATAATGCAGTTGTACTCTACTACAAATCCCACAGTAGCGGAAAAACTCTGAGTTACCATGACACCTATTCTTGACTCTTTATTGTTCTAATCTATGACATCGACATTAAACTACCATGATTCCGATTATAGGATTTGGATCAATTTCAATTGTCAGATTTCTTCACAAACTAACATCGGTTAGAGAGATCACTCAGAATAAGGGAGCAATGGACAGCTGTTTCGTCCTGCCTTTCGGTAGACTTTTCACCAGTACGTATTCACGATCCCACCAGAGTTACGTGACCAAGCTCACTGACCATTTAGTCACTTGAGCTGGAATCCAATGACCCGGGAATCCTAACTTTGTCAACTAAGTGATATACCGCTCCCTCACTATTACTTTCAGTGGACATCCTCTTCACCCTGACAGAGTGGATCCTATTGGTCACAACCTCTCACTACAGTTTCAGGAGATCCATCCAATAACCATCAGTGATACAGGAAATCGATACTTAGATCATGTGATTGAGATTAATTTTAATTTCGAATGTTAGATATCATTACAAACCAATATCAGAGGATGTGTGGTATATTTAGGGAAAAGCAACTTAACTTAAAAGAGTAAATATAGTGTAAATATACTCAGCTGAGAAAGTTATTTCAAGTTTAGGACCAAATAGGCTCTACGAATATATAGTGATACAAACGGTCTGATATTTTTCTAATATGACCGAAATGCTCTAGGATTAAGACTAGGTTAGAATTATGCTTTGTAGATGGAGAGAAAACATTCACAATGTAAATACTGGGGACTGAGTATAAAACTAATGGTTAGTTGTGCACCAGAAAGTCCTCGCATGTCTTCAAATATATCAGCTGATACTAACAATGGATAATACACAACAAAACCTAAATAAGGGGTTACATGGATTTGTGTTTTATATATTTAATAGTATCAGTTTTAGAGTCTTTTTTATTATTCTTTGACGTTCCCAGTGGAACAAAGGGCTTCAAGCTAGAGGCTTGAAGTTTCAGTGGCATTGGTGTTTATCTTTACGGGATGGAGTTGCTAGCCTCATGCCTCCCAACATTTCCTCTTTACCAGCCTTATTACACACTTAGCAAGGTAAAGGAATGCGTTGGCCAGGGATGGAACCCCGGATGACATACGTGGTCGGTGAGCATTCCACCGCTGTGCCACCGACGCACTTCAGAGTCTTGACGAAAAAATAATGCTGACTTTGAAATGTGACTGACAACATTTTAGAAGAAAAGATTCATCATTCACCAATATCACAAAGTTTTATTTATACACAGAAGGAAAATTCATTTCTGATTCAGGAATGTAATCAAAAACATATTTTTCTAATAAAAAAAAGAAAGAAAGATATACAGACAGATATACGAACAAATGTATTTTCAAGTAATCTGATCAATTCATTCAACAATCAAAATAAGAAACAATAATTGTGGTCTTATGTACAGTGTGTTGATTTAAGGACACTTCGAAAGACAAAAATAAAAGCAATACAAAAGAAGTTGAAAGTTTTACTTGAAACAGCTAGAAGAAATGGAATAAATCGAAAAACCAAGAAACAACTGTGGCAAATGTGATTGACAAGTTATCCAAAATGAAATTCAAAATGTGCACCTTCAAATGGATGCATATTGCCAAATGGGAAACCACCGAAAGGATGATTGCCAAAAGGATTTTGTGCTTGTTGTTCAGGATCTAATGGATCGATTCCACTATCAAATTGAGCCCGTTTTTCTGAAGAAGAAAATTTTTATCAAGATGAAAGATAATATGTTAGAAAGTGTTCATTTAAAAAACATTTAAAGTTAAATGTTTAATATATTACCTAGAGATTTAAATGGAAAACCTCTATAAAAGCATATGACAAGCTATAAACATGTTCCCTGCTCAGCAGTTAATGAGAAAGGACACATACCAATCAGTTTTAAAACTCTCAATTAAAGTCATTAAAAAAATGAAACGGTTTAAAAGGAAAAGAACGGTACTTCAATAACATTCGAAAATTTTTAAAAATGACTCCAGAAATTAAAGATGGTAAATATATACCGAAAAAAACTACACTAGAATAAAATCGAAGTTAACTATTTGTAGAATCAAGTCGTTACCAAGTTAATTTCGATGATTTATAGAATTAAACCATAAAACAGTAGAAAAGTCTCTTGAGATGAGAAGGATCGCCTATACTATTAACAAGAAACAAGAGCAAACACCACACAATGAAGAAAAAAGAAATGATAATTAGCGCACAGTTGAACTAACCAAACCTGTTGTGTCAGGACTAGTGATACCAACTGGATGCCCAAACCCCCGGGAAGTGGGGCGGGTTTTCGCCCGTGATCCCACGGTTAGAAGCCGAGTACCAAGATCAAAGAGCCACAGCTCCACCATAGTTAAGCCAATGTGTATAATTATTTACAAAAATTAAAGTAACGACGATAAGTGGAGTTAACCTAAGACATCCTCAATTAACTAAACATCTACTGAGGTGTCTAATCAAACTGTGGTTGAGAACAGTAGTGATAGATGGCTACATACCTTTAGTCTACTTCAAGTATTTTAGCATATGTCTTATGGCATATCGATATACTGATGTGTCGTCAAAAAACCTTGATTTTTTGGATAGAAATATTCAATATTTGAGACAAAGAAAACGAAACCTGTAGTATTTTGATTAAGGAATTCACGGAGAAGATGAACTTCGGACCCAGAGAAAAGATAAAAATGAACGCATCGTCAGAGATTATCCAAAAGTAGAAGTTGTCGCACGTTTGCGAGCGTTTTCTTTTTAAACTACCACTCATTTGATTAATGAAGTATGACTTTGATATCCATTAGGTTCACTGAACTTTTAATAGACAGGTACCATAAAAATGATATGGCTCACTGCTAAGCATGTAGTCGTTTAGTGCAGAGATTTTAAAAATAATCAAAAACAGAAACGAAGTGTAGAAAACTAAAACAAAGGTTCACATGTTCAAAAGTTCTATGAGTAATGAAATAAGGAGCTTTAGGTCCCATAAGACCAATTTGTCTTGTTAGAGATATTAAGTAAAAGATATTTAAAACTGTCTAAATTTTAAATATTATTTAGGAGAAAAAAATACAAGAAATTAGGAAATCTTAAAAGTACGAACTTACCATTATCTGTGAGGACCTCCTTAGCCGCAGAAATTTCGACGAACCTCTTTTCCGCTTGTACCCTTTCTTCGCCCTGGAATCTGTCCGGGTGATATTCGGCAGCTAGTTTTCGATAAGCTTTTTCGATTTCCTTTTTCGAAGCTGATTTTGTAACACCAAGTATCTTGTAATAATTGCGGCGTTTGCTAGCTTTCAAGAGTTTTTGGGCTTTTCTCATACCCTCTTTTGCCTTCTGGTTATTAGATTCATGTTCCAGTATTTTTTGGTAAGTTGAAATGGCTAAGTAACCGAGTGAAAAAAATAATACATATGTATAAGACTGCTATATCAGATGAAAGTTATTGTACTATCTGAGTTTTCAAATTTTATTCTGACATTATTTTTAAAACATAAATAGCAAACAATTCCCATAAACATCAGATGAACGCAATAATGAGTCTGCATGGTATCTTTTAGAGTTAGAATTCAGTTAACTGGAAGGGATTTTATATATTCGCGAAAAATATTGCTGTAATTATATGTAATACAAAACAACAATGACAAATTGTCTTACCATCATCAAATCGGTCAGCATTTAAGTAAGCTTCCGCCTGATAAAGCTGATACTCTGTACTTTCAGGGTAGTGTTGTACTACAGATTCACAATAAGGAACTCCATCAGCACTTTTTGACTACAATGTAAAAATAACATATAATAAAGATGTAGTGTTGAACAAATGTACACGTAATGAGCGATATCTTATTGCATACTGATTACAGTAAAAATATAATCTACTGCGTGGGCCTAGAGATATGTAGTAGAAGTAAGTATACTTGGTCGTCATCGTAGGTAATCACAGAGAATATTCATACTGCAATCACTTACAGTCATAAGACGGAAGACAGACATTAGCTGCGAGAAGTATACGCGAATGCAGAACGCCTCACCAACACTTTTCGGTAAATAAAGCCTCAGTTGTATGCAGTTATATACCCATATTAAATGTAGATGTGCTTTTAAAATGCTTACAACGGTATAACATAAGCTTTTCACAATATCATATCGCAAATGGTTTTTAGTAAACATTGAAACATTTCTTATGAACATAGTAAACTTAAATTTGTATTACAATAATTAGTTTGCGAATTACCCAGTAAAAAGTGACGATTCACTTAAATTTATGTTTCTCATCTGCAATCAATCACCGGACTATGTAGCACTAAACCAACCAGATAAGAGAAAATTATATGAGACCTCGAATAAGCGGGAAAATATAGGAGCAAACACATACCACCAACAATACAGCTGCAATCCAAATGATAAGCCAAGACCTTAAACAACTTTGAAGGTGTGATTTTATAAACCATAAACACAGATATATATAGAACTCGACGAATTAGTGCACTAGCTCAAGAAGAAACAGATGAGGTAAACATGAAGAGAAGGACTGAAAGTTCATGGAAATGTTTTGAACCGTATAGTCAAAAAGTGAACAAAACTGTATTATTACGATCAGTTTGAGTTGCACTGCCGACAGTTACCAACCTTTATTCCTTGCTATCACAGGGATTAAAATCAAGTAATCCATAATTTCTTATATGGTTCAGATAACAACCGTATTCTGGTTCACCTAGTTTTTTTTAAACCGTCGATGTATAAAGACTTCTGTACTTATTAACACCTACGTCGATAGATTTCATATTCTATAGTCATATAATATGGACGACTTACAACTGCATATGGTTGAGTAGATGGCCCTCTTTGACTTGAATAACACCATCCTTCAACCTAATCTTACTACAGCACACATCAAACACTGAAGAAAAAACACCACTTCGGTGAATTGGTTCATAAACTCATTATATAAGCGATTTCTAGTTCCTGGTAACGTACCCATACATACAAAGAAATTCAGAAATATTTGCATAATTGACAGTGCTACTTTAATAGTCATCTAATATGTTTCCTAGAAAATATAACCGTTTACACGGTTAACATATAAGAAGTAATCTCTGTAAAACCTCAGGAACATTTTTTCTGGGTATAGATCCTAACAATCTTTAAACACGCCAGGTTTTCCAATGTAATATAGATATAGAACAAAAATAATTAGAGTGAACAATTGTTTTCAATAAATTATTCTTCAAATATCTATCAAGCGGATTAAGACTGCAATATTTACACATCTGCTTTCCCCTTTACTTAACCACACAGGTATATGTTCAGGTGGGCGCATGGATAAAGCTATTTGCTCCACATGAGAAGTTGAATTCATAGATGCACATTAACGAGGCTATCACTGGTATTTTATCCTTGACTGTGTGAGTGGTGAACACGCAATAAAACCAGAGTAGGAGTACTCGGTTACCTACAGAAGCTCAGCTACGTCCTCTATCATTTGATGAAGCAGTAGCAATCAATACGAGAAGACCCGGTCTCTGTATACAGAAAAAGTATATCCAGCCACTTAGTTTATCTCAGCTTACAATAAAGTCAACAAATCCTCTGTAAACACTGATACTTTAAATCCCCACCCCATTTATTTCCTTTCTCTTTTTTCCTCTTGTCTCATTGACAAACGTTTGTTTCAGACCTTTTATGATTTCACTACCTCTCTTAATATATATAGTACTCCTTTAAGTTTTCGAAATGCTTTTTAATCCTGTTTATTCCAATTAATTAAATTCATTATGACTTGGTAAGCGTCCTGCTGTGAACTTTCCTTATAATACGTATCTAATCATATTCATATCTCTACCGCTATTAACACTCTTTTTTCCCTTTATACGTTTAAGCCATTCCGGCTTCATTGTAAAATGAATAAAGCCTAAATCCTTGGTTCATTCGTCTTTTCAAGATTCAAGCATCACTCATCGTTCTAAGATTCAGTCACCTTCGTAACACGTCCACTAACAGTACTTTTAGGTCTACACAACACCACCTTCATTATTTCATCATTATTACTGTTACGTCACCCTTGAATCTGCGTCTAGTCTATCCCATTTGTTGGTCTTACGCATTACTGGCTACACTCGCGCTTAAAATCTGTACTTTTGTTGACTGTATATATATATATATATAATTATTTCACCTCATCCTGTCTTATGTTCTTACTGACTATATACATTCTAAATGACAATCGAAACTGACCATTATCCCGTCTTGTGTCATTCCCACAATACACTGAAATAATTCCAATTTGCCTTTACTGGCTATTGTATACTGAAATATAAGGTTTTACAATTATAGAGCCTGGAGTATAATTTATTGAAAACAACCATTCACCCTCATTATTTTCGTTCCGAATTAATTATGGGGACATCCAATTTAATACGGATAAAAAACATTGCGAAAACAGTACAGATAGGTGAATCGTTTGGACGAAAATCCAAAGTAGTCAGACGGAACTAGATTGAATGCTGGACTAGTTGAGACTATTCATAACATCATATACAACAAATTTAGCAACAACAAAACTGTGAAAATTGAACATGGGAACTTACCTTAGCATGACAGTGGCAAAGACTGATATTTGCTTGGTTTTCGTACTCACGATTTGAAGACTCGAGCTTGACAATTTCTGCGGCTATCCTGATGCAGTCAGAATACCTTTCAGACTCTAAAGCTTCTTGAGTAGCTGTTAATGCCTTGGCAACTTTATTGACTTTTTTATAGAAACTCAAGCAAGCCTTGTCATCTTGATCTAGTCTCAGGCATTCCCGAAGTTCACTAATAGCTTGAACTGCAAAACCAGCGTCGTACATTATCCGACTGATTCTCAACAAGCCTTCGCGATTATCATTCGTTAAGTGAACACCAAATCTCATTTCTTGAATGCCCCTTTGAACATCCCCCAAACTTAAGTAACATTTGGCTCGGAGTTCACGAAGCTCTTCAGCAAAATCAATAGATTCTATCAATTTATCCAGAAGTGCAAGAGCTTCCCGATACTCTTTATTCTCAAAGAGACTACGCGCAGTCGACCACCGTTCCTGTAGCTCATGTATTTCGGATATCTTCGCACTTGCATCAGCATCGTGAGCCAGCTACACAATATTTTCGTTAAAGGAAACACTTACCACAGCTTCGTAATCTTCTATAGCTTCTGGTAGTTTTCCCATCCGGAGCTTCACATATGCGCGATATTTCCGTGCCTGTAGATCAGTTTAGCCTAACTACTACTCACTAACAGGTACGAAGTCCGGATTCAGCTCCAGAGCTCTATTAAAATCAGAGAGAGACATCCTGCAATTTGCCATTGCAATGTATGCAGTTCCCCTTTTGTAATGTGTCATATAATTATCAGGACTTTTGCCTAAAAGATTATTAGAATATTTCAACATACCTACGGCTTCGTTATACAAAGTAAGAGCCTCTTCAAATTTACCCGATGACAGTAACCGAGTCCCCCTCTCCAGTACATCTTCTACATTTGCATAAGCTGATAAGGTAACTAAATCGGGATAATTAATGAAAAATATATTTTACTTATAGTCTGAAAGCATGTTAGGGTGAAGAAGTAATACACTGAAGTCCTTGCACCACACTCAGCTGAAATATCGTAAAACATCCTAACGACGCGGGTAACAATCCGTGTGGATGTAGCTGATTGGTTTATAGTCGAACTGGAAACACATAAACAAAGCCAAGAGTGTGTCATTCTTCAATGTTAATATTCTGAAAACTCATTACGCTAAAAACAACTTCCAGTGAATACTAACTGTCGTCTTCATCGAAAATTCAGACCTAAAATTTATTAAACTTTATGTCGTAAGTGGTCACACTGTAAATAGGGGGCGAACAGACTATTTTGTTGTTTTTCTGGGGATTTAGTTCTTACCCCTCTAGAAGTCTCCACAAAGGTTGTTCGGCGCTTCTGGTTTGTAATTTTTCCGTGGGGTAACAAACAAGCACATGGAATCATTGAGGCTTTATACAAGTCAACCAACTCGATTGTTTGGTTGATTCTTTCCACTAGGGCAAAAAAAGAATCGTAGGCCATTAACATCTGAAAGAAAAGGGGGCGGTGAGTGTGATGAACTTCAGTTGTGAACTAGCATAATTCCTCTTAAATACGCTCACCTAAGAACATCATGAATAAGTATAGCTGTAATATTCTTTCTTCATTAGTTAGTCGACGTCACGGGCCGCCAGGTAAAATTTCAGGGAGGTTCTGGCTGTAGAGTCAGACAGTTATGAGAGCCAAGATGTAGGTGAATAGGTATGTGATCGTTTTCATTTCTAGTTGAGACTGAAAAGCAAGTGAGCTCTAACTCTTCTAGGCATCGCAGTCGATTGGATGCTTGTCATGGGAGGAAATGTACATTGTTTATAGTAGGTTTGAGACTGGTTGAACAAAGATTTGCTGTTCGCAAGCGAGGAATTTTTTTCTCAGGCATGAATTCCCTAAAAATTCGTTTATTAGACACACACAATAGTGAAACAGTACTGCCTGCGGAATGACTTTATTACATAATTTGCAGATCAAAACCACATAATAATTGTGCGCACGGCAAAGCTTAAGTATTACTTATTCTGCGTTTTTAAGTCACTATCTACTCAATTCAGCTGCTAATTTACTTTCTTCTGCTCTTTGATTAGTACTTCAATTAATTTACTAAACTTAGTGTCAACAGTTTTGTTTTATTCATTTTATTATGTTACATGACCTGTCCAGTATATTAGTCTCTCTTATAATACAGTGGTTATTCCCGGGTTACCTGATCTCTTCGCAGGTGAATGGAATATTTGTTTCCCCCTTTTCTTTTCGAAGATGAATACGGTCTAGAATGCTAAATCAATTCCACATGATTTAGTAACTAAAATTTGAGGAAACATGCACCTGCTGCAAACCGCTCCTAGACAGCACGAGACCCTAGTTACAAATCATAACCTATGCGTCGGTGGCACAGTGGTTAGGACTCTCGCCGACCATGCACATGGTCCGGGGTTCGAGCCCACGCCGGCGCACACCAGATATCTATGGTCGGCCTGCAAAATTTGGGCTACCGATATCCATGCTGAAAATTCTATACTTGTACCAAAAATACAGTGTGGAATCAAGCTGTAAATCAAAAAAAAAAATAAGAACTTAGCTGCAGATGGTGGCGTTCCTCATCACTCGACGTCTACTTACTTTAACAGAAGCGTACTTGGATGTATGACTTCGATGGCCACAGTGGACTAAGAGGAATCTTCGAACAGTATCCTTTGTTGCACCTGTGGTGACACCGAATCACACCAGAATAACTCCGCTATACAAGACACATCCATTAAGCGCATCGCATATAACACTCGCTCACGCTGTCCATTACATGTTTACCAACTGACAGTTTTGAAGACATTTTAAGAGACCGAATAAACACCATGGATTTCATGCGTTAGCCGAAACAGGGAAGATATAGTACGCTACCCACTTCTCCAGAAATAAACATATTTCAATAATAATAATAATATATTCTCATTTTTGGCTATTCTTGTGCTAGCAATAAAGCTATTGTTACACGATCATGGAATAATCTATGTCTTCTCAAAAGAGGTGTGACGGTCTTAAGGTAACAAAATGACATAAAAATTCGGATATTATGATAATGGTTAAATACATGGTGGAGCACAAGGTAACACACAGGGATGAGTAGGTGAAATACCCTTGCATCACCAAAAACGGAAGTTCGACCCACTCTTGCTTATAAGACTAAAAGGCATGGGAATAATATTACTGAGTTTTCCGCTGTCTGACGTCCTACTCATAAGAAAAAAATCACAACCTCTGACAGAAAAAACCCTCACAAAACCAATGCTGGCAGTGCTTTAATCATCTGTGGAGGTACTGCATCCCATAGAACATCCATATGATTCCGAAGTGACATCACTGTTCAAGGCCATTTACCTACCCTTGGGCAATGTGCAACGCCTCCTCATTCGCGCCAGCCTAAATAACACTCATGACCGTGTGTGGTGACTTGTCTTGCTAGGATTAGATCATACCGGTGGTCAACACTGCATGACCTATTCTAGTTTCGTTGCTATGCCTTTCCTAACACCGGTACAATAACGGAGGAAAAACATAATACCTCTTCTCACCAGAGTGAAAAGATGTATAAGTACCAAACGGTCAGCAAAGCTGGTCACTTTAGTATGACAACTTTAAACAATCTCTCCTGAGAGAACAAAGACATTCATGAATAAGACTGAACGCAGACTTGCTCGCTTATCTGTACTGATGGGGTTCAAAGAACACCAACTGTGAACATTTAGATTCCTAAGAAGTGTCGAGCTCTAGTCATGTGTCTCTGTGCACTCTCAGTAATGTAGCGAAACAAGTTTGCTTCTGAACAGCTGTAAGAGTTTTACCCTCCCCTTATCATGTAGGGCAGCATTAACTGTAGCCTAACCATCGACCTATGGCGGGCTGGTATGATGAGGGCAGCGGTCTGGCAGGTTGGATGGTTACACTAGAAACATGAGTGGTATTTCTAGTCGAGGCCAACGGGAAATCAGGTTCGGTAATGTTAAACTGGTATGACCAATCAGCATCTTACAAGTCTTTCCCAAACCTCAGTTAGTAGAGGTGAAATTTAGGGTTGTTGAAGATGAACTGTCTAATTTTACATGAATTCATGAATTTCTCCGTCCACCCTTTCATTCACGCCGCTCTAAAGGAATAAAAACTGTGAATTGTATTTCCTTGATATGTAACTCAGAAGGATAGCAGGCGGATTGCTGAAATTTAAAACTTGCGAAATATTCAAACTGACTAGACGGAAAGGGGATTAGATTAATGCATTCTCGACGTAAGTGAGGAACACTCGTAAAGAAGAAAGTGCAAATGAATAACACAAGCAAGTCACGCGCAATTCAGAATGACTGTGGGATCTTTGTCCAGTACAGAACGTGCCATTACCTGAATGGTGAGTCAGAAGAATATCGGACATCAGTGAATGCAGAAAGACGAAATTAGTTACGAAGCGCGGATAACATCTTATCCCTATAATGAACTGCATTTAATGGTAAATACTCACGAGTGTGTTTGAATAGGCTCTCCCATTTCACTCGCTCATCAGCATGCTCATAGCACATAATTCCAATATCAAGTACTGTCCTCCCACAAACTACTTATTAGCTGCTTTATGACTATTTTGATACAAGAGCTTGCTGTTTGAGAATAACTGAGGATACGCGAAACAAAATTCAAGCTGAGTCAGTATACCCAACGAGCCATTGCAATGTATAAATTTGACACTAGGATGTGACATTCCAATTGGGGTTCACACAGGCTGTTTGGTATGAATCATAGGGAAGTTGTTTCCAGTTGTCCTCCTACAAATAATCCGTGTTAACTGCTTATGATGCCATTTAATTCTTGGAAGCCCCCATATTCTAATTCTTTGGGTGTTTATTTGTTCAATCGGTGACAGACGTTTGTACCCATGAACCCAGGACGCTCTCCGGAAGACTTGAGAGGGCGCAGGATAATTAAACCACTAATTTACCCCTGGTGGAACACGAAGTTCATAATGATTTCACAGCCACCGAAAAACAGCGGAAAATTATTCCGAACTTTGGAGGTAGTTCTGCGAATTCTGATTTTGCATCTTGAGAGGTAAATGGTTCAAAACAGATGGCCTGTGACCACAACAACGGGAGCCGAAATTCCCTGAAAAGCTAAGGTTCGTGGTTAATTGATGACGTTGGCAGAGAATATTGACACAAATCGGCTGATTGCTACGGGGATCAGGTGTTACTGCGTTTCGTGTTTGAGCGCTTTGCCTTGTTTCTGGGGTTTTTCGACCGGAACTCATTTTATCTGCTATATTTCAACGAAAAAACCTTTAAAACTCGAGAAGAATAATCGTTTCCACTCTGTTGGAAAAATGCTGTGTTTTCATTGCATTGACATGCTGAAGTACATATGGAACGTCAGGATTCATTGCAAATTGTCAGTTATGACGAGATTGATTAAATGATTCCCTTAAATAATGAAGAAGTGGTTAGAACATAGGGGTGATTATGATTTCATGACACTCATAGAATTCCACAGTCAGAATGGAAAGTGAATTGATCAACTGGTGAGATAGTGGTGAAGAGACGGTGATTTAATTGAAAGGTACTGTGTTTTAAGGTGTTTATTTGACTTAACACTTCCTTACTAGACTTTTTTGATTTTTATTATCCAAATCATAGTCTTTACTTTCAAAATCCCTCAGCATATTTAAATGTTCTAATGAAATTAAGACCGATAACATTTTGGTGAATGATGAAATGTTTGCCACGCCATGAGTGTATTTGTTAGAATAAGTATTTTTGGAAAGCTTGAACTCCTTTCATACGTTAATATTATTAACTGTTTTTTGAGTTGAAAAGTGATTTCAGTTTAGAAGACGTGAAAGGCATAAAATGTCATGTTTACAAATAAACGAATTAGGTTCAAATAGGGTTGTCAATCGCGTCTCA